CAGGGTCGTACTCTCCGAATGTTGTAGAGCATGAACCTGCAGGATCGGGTCACCGCCTTGATGTTAGCGGAGAACGACAGGGTGTTGTCCAGGGTCACGCCAAGGCTCTTCGCACTCTGGGAGGAGGACACAATGGAGTTGTCAACCGTGATGGCGAGATCATGGAACGGGCAGTCCTTCCCCGGGAGGAAGAGCAGCTCCGTCTTGCCAAGGTTCAGCTTGAGGTGGTGATCCGTCATCCATACTGATATGTCTGCCAGACATGCAGAGATGCGATTCGCCACCTGGTTATCAGAAGGGGGAAAGGAGAAGATTAGTTGTGTATCGTCAGCGTAGCAATGATAGGAGAGGCCATGTGAGGATATGACAGAGCCAAGTGACTTGGTGTATAGGGAGAATAGGAGAGGACCTAGAACTGAGCCCTGGGGGACACCAGTGGTGAGAGCACGTGGTGCGGAGACAGCTTCTCGCCACGCCACTTGGAAGGAGCGACCGGTCAGGTAGGACGCGATCCAGGAGTGAGCCGCCCAGCTCGGAGAGGGTGGAGAGGAGGATCTGATGGTTCACAGTATCAAAGGCAGCAGACAGGTCTAGAAGGACAAGAGCAGAGGAGAGAGAGTTAGCTTTAGCAGTGCGGAGAGCCTCCGTGACACAGAGAAGAGCAGTCTCAGTTGAATGACCAGTCCTGAAACCTGACTGGTTTGGATCAAGAAGGTCATTCTGAGAGAGATAGCAAGAGAGTTGGCTAAAGACGGCACGCTCAATAGTTTTGGAAAGAAAAGAAAGAAGGGATACTGGTCTGTAGTTGTTGACATCAGTGGGATCGAGTGTTGGTTTTTTGAGAAGGGGTGCAACTCTCGCTCTCTTGAAGACGGAAGGGACATAGCCAGCGGTCAAGGATGAGTTGATCAGCGAGGTGAGGTAGGGGAGAAGGTCACCGGAGATGGTCTGGAGAAGAGAGGAGGGGATGGGGTCAAGCGGGCAGGTTGTTGGGCGGCCTGCAGTCACAAGTCGCAAGATTTTATCTGGAGAGAGAGGGGAGAAAGAAGTCAAAGCATAGGGTAGGGCAGTGTGAGCAGGACCAGCAGTGTCATTAGACTTAACAAACGAGGATCGGATGTCGTCAACCTTCTTTTCAAAGTGGTTGACGAAGTCATCCACAGAGAGAGAGGAGGGGGGGGGTGGGGGGGGGGGGATTCAGCAGGGAGGAGAATGTGGCAAAGAGCTTCCTAGGGTTAGAGGCAGATGCTTGGAATTTAGAGTGGTAGAAAGTGGCCTTAGCAGCAGAAACAGATGAAGAAAATGTAGAGAGGAGGGAGTGAAAAGATGCCAGGTCGGCAGGGAGTTTAGTTTTCTTCCATTTCCACTCCGCTGCCCGGAGCTCTGTTCTGTGAGCTCGCAATGAGTCATCAAGCCACGGAGCTGGAGGGGAGGACCGAGCCGGCCGGGAGGATAGGGGACACAGAGAGTCAAAGGATGCAGAAAGGGAGGAGAGGAGGGTTGAGGAGGCAGAATCAGGAGATTGGAGGGAGAAGGATTGAGCAGAGGGAAGAGATGATAGGATGGAAGAGGAGAGAGTAGTGGGAGAGAGAGAGCGAAGGTTGCGGCGGCGCATTACCATCTGTGTAGGGGCAGAGTGAGTAGTGTTGGAGGAGAGCGAGAGAGAAAAGGATACAAAGTAGTGGTCGGAGACATGGAGGGGAGTTGCAGTGAGATTAGTAGAAGAGCAGCATCTAGTAAAGATGAGGTCAAGCGTATTGCCTGCCTTGTGAGTAGGGGGGGACGGTGAGAGGGTGAGGTCAAAAGAGGAGAGGAGTGGAAAGAAGGAGGCAGAGAGAAATGAGTCAAATGTAGACGTAGGGAGGTTGAAATCCCCCAAAACTGTGAGGGGTGAGCCATCCTCAGGAAAGGAACTTATCAAGGCGTCAGGTAACAAGTGGAGGACAGAGGAGCCTCTTAAAGAAGAAGTTACAGGTCTGTGAGAGCCAGAAATCTTGCTTGTTTGTAGGTGACCAAATGCTTATTTTCCAACATAATTTGCAAATAAATTCATAACAAATCCTACAATGTGATTTTCTGGATTTTTTTCCCTCAAGTTGTCTGTCATAGTTGACGTGTACCTATGATGAAAATTACAGGCCTCTCTCATCTTTTTAAGTGGGAGAACTTGCACAATTGGTGGCTGACTAAATACTTTTTTTCCCCACTGTACATGCCCGTCTGAAGTTTGCCAATGAACATCTGAATGATTCAGAGGAGAACTGGATGAAAGTGTTGTGGTCAGATGAGACCAAAATCGAGCTCTTTGGCATCAACTCAACTCGCCATGTTTGGAGGAGGAGGAATGCTGCCTATGACCCCAAGAACACCATCCCCACCGTCAAACATGGAGGTGGAAACATTATGCTTTGGGGGTGTTTTTCTGCTAACTTCACCGCATCAAAGGGACGATGGACGGGGCCATGTACCGTCAAATCTTGGGTGAGAACCTCCTTCCCTCAGCCAGGGCATTGAAAATGGGTCGTGGATGGGTATTCCAGCATGACAATGACCCAAAACACTCGGCCAAAGCAACAAAGGAGTGGCTCAATAAGAAGCACATTAAGGTCCTGGAGTGGCCTAGCCAGTTTCCAGACCTTAATCCCATAGGAAATCTGTGGAGGGAGCTGAAGGTTCGAGTTGCCAAACGTCAGCCTCGAAACCTTAATGACTTGGAGAAGATCTGCAAAGAGGAGTGGGACAAAATCCCTCCTGAGATGTGTGCAAACCTGGTGGCCAACTACAAAACACATCTGACCTCTGTGATTGCCAACAAGGGCAAGTACTAAGTCATGTTTTGCAGAGGGGTCAAATACTTATTTCCCTCATTAAAATGCAAATCAATTGATAACATTTACGACATGCGTTTTTCTGGATTTTTGTTGTTGTTATTCTGTCTCTCACTGTTCAAATAAACCTACCATTAAAATTATAGACTGATCATTTCTTTGTCAGTGGGCAAACGCACAAAATCAGCAGGGGATCAAAAACTTTTTTACCTCACTGTATAATGAATTTTTACCAATACTTTTGGTCCCCTAAAATAGGGGGACTATGTACAAAAAGTTCTGTAATTTCTAAACGGTTCACCCGATATGGATGAAAATACCCTCAAATTAAAGCTGACAGTCTGCAATTTAACCTCATTGTCATTGTATAATTTAAAATCCAAAGTGCTAGAGTACAGAGCCAAAACAACAACAAATGTGTCACTGTCCCGATACTTTTGGAGCTCATTGTATATTACTGTAGAAATCACAGTGAGGATTAAACCTGTATTCAATGGGAATTCGTGAAATATGAGACTCACCCCATGTCTTCCATTGGAAACTGATGCCTTTGCATGTACCTGGATATACCGAAAATACAGTGACCCTGGCCTGCATGCAGCATAAGCATGTGTTTCTGTCCTCGGTATTGATTTAGGGCGTGGTGGTTATCCATTGGGAACAAGGTCAATATAGAACAACAGGAATCTGATTTATGGGATAAAGTTACCTTGCAAATGTGTATAGTTCAGTCCTTGAGCTGTTCTTGTCTATTGATGTTCTGTATTATGTCATATTTCATGTTTTGTGTGGACCCCAGGAAGAGTAGCTGCTGCTTCAGCAACCGCTAATGGGGATCCTAATAAAATACTAAATACAGTCATCCACACCTGCACTGGCACCTGCAAAAAATGGACTGAATAAAGGTATTTACCAAGGATGAAAGGGTCAAACATTAACATGCATAGCTTTGGCGTAGAACACTACTGCCATCATGTGAGAGGTAAAATAATTTGTTCCACATCAGTACTGCTATTCATCACACACTTAAGAAAACAGACTGTAGGGGCAGACAGAGACAGACAGACAGGACACACATATACAACACAAGTACACTAATTGGATCACAGTAATCCATATAGATGTAGATCATCAAAACAATCCTCAAAATACAGAGAAAAACATTAAATCTCTTTTGCTTCCCATGTTAAGTTTATTGTAAATATATAGTTATATAACTAATCATACTTATACAAAGTCTGCTGGTCCCATGCAAAACATGATCAAAAAGATCAACATACTGTAGTTTTGTTTAGTAGAACCAGTGTGTGGAGTAGTATTGTAGCATGCTTTTTCCATACTGTAAGTTATACCAAAGTATCATTACTTTGAACGATAATGGACGTTTATTTCCTCCTACATGCAATTTTACAGAGTTGCACTCCTGCCTCTCACAGGAGTTTCCAACAATCCTGGCCATGCTTACAAAACATCCTTCGATACCCTAGGGGAATGTTAAATCAAGTTAGTTGGGATGTTGGGTGGTTGTTGATGTACTAAACACATCTTCAGTTCACCTTGCTAGCTCATCTCTTTCATAGGAGAGTAGACTAAATGTGAGGCCAACAAAGAACAGAAACATACGAACATAACAACTATCAGGACAACAGGACATTTTAAGAATCGGAGTGAAACAAACATTATTTAGGGGAAGAATCCCTTGCAATGTTTAGGCCTTTCACAGCGTCATTCAGGATATTATAAACATACCGTTACACATCCCAAAGAGCATCAGGGCAATACCAGTGTCAGGCAACTCCTGATCAATGTCTAGAACTGCATGCAGGGAGATGCAGTCCCACAGACATGGAAGGGTGATTACTACTCAAACACAACAACCTCAACACTTTCCAGTAAGCTAAAGTCCACAAAATCTAGTTTGTCTTTCACATTGGTTCTACAACTATTTATTAGCTGAAACGAAAATCGAATTATTTGTGCAATCAGTGTTAATACAGTGCAGTTACTGTTCACATCCAAATTGATAACCATTAGAGGGTTTTACATTGTACTCATATGCAAAATGCTTTCTCAGTTACCTTCTCCTGAGCCAGAGGTGGACAGAAACTCTGAACCACACACACGCAAATTCCTGACTCTCTATGTTATTAGATTTAAAGAGCCAGTCCGCAGTTGAACCAATAACGAAGCCGTCAGCCCACCACTGTTTTTGTAAAAAACTGAGGGATGGAGAAAATTAACCACTCTCAAATTCATGGACAGAGCTATAGATACAAGGACTGATCATCCATGATATCAAAATGATCATGTTTTTGAGGCTATACAGTGTTCGTTTATATTTCTATTGTTTACAGATATTTGAGTTAAACAAGCTTATGTTTTGGGTTCTGATGGGGTACAACAGTTGAACTAAGTTCATGAGGCATTTATAAGTTATATTCTTCAAAAAACAATGGGTATATATCGTTAATCTATACGTCAAAAAATTAATGCAGCAACTGCAGATTGCCCCTTTAACTCATTGGAAATGCAGGACTACAAGCTCTCTAATCTAATTGACTCCATTGGCCATGCAAGTTTCCTGTCTGACAGCGCATGTCCTGGCACCCTACTATAGTTCAACACAAACAGTCAATAAATAAAAAGTGTGAGAATTGGCTCATGGGTGGTTAACTCTTCAACATGTTTTCCAGGCAATGTCCACCAGTGTCCAAGACAATTTGAGAACCACCTTAAGTTTAAAGCTTGAGTAAATAAATTAGTTCCCTCAGAAAATATACACAAGAAAGCAAAGTAACTGTACAACTGGTTCACTTATCGACGTCCTATCCACTCTAGATCAGGGAGGCCTACCCCTACTTCAAACAAAGAGTTACAAATCAATAACCAACCCACAATCAACATAATATTAATCTAAAGAAACTCAAATGGTCCAAATACTTACCAAATATTGTCAACACAAAAAATCCAAAACATAAAAGCAAGAAGCTATCTTACGACAATAAGCACTCAATTACTGCAGTTAGTTAGTACTTGAGTATTTGAAAATAAAACTATGTAAGCACAGAATAAAGAAAAAAAGCTTTATTACACCAAATGGAATGTGATCAGAAGTTCTGCAGGTGAAAAAAACTAGTCGCAGAAATAAATTACTCAAATAACTTAACAGGCATAGTCCTCTGTTCAGTCAGACAAATATGGAACCTTCCATCCATCCTAACAAAGGACAACAACTATTCATTTGAGCACAAAGCATGGTGGCTTCCCAAATGACACTATTCCCTAAATAGTGTACTATAGGGAATAGGCTCCCATTTGGGATGCAGCCTGTGATAGAATGGGGGGAGGGGGTTCTAGTGTTAGTCTTCTACTGGACTATAAGAGAAGAGGGCATTGATTGAATCAGTGCATTCAGCACATTATGACCAAAAGTCACAGGCAACAGGACAGCATTCTGCCTGCCTCTCAAACAGGGGCAGTGCAACAGAACTGTATCATCATCAGATTTACAAAACAGTTTTTTGAGTAAGTAGCATTTTGATAACATGGTAACTGCATTTGCTTACAAAGAAAACGAAAAGCAGTTTGTATATTGTAAATGACATGAGCTTCTTAATAACCAGGCAACAGCCCAAAACCGAACCAACTGATTAGCAAGAACCATTGTTAGATCGATTATCCCCATTCCCCATGTTATTTTCTTGATCTGAAAAATAGTTGGTATTTTGGTATTTCAACAAGCAGACATATTTAATTGGTCAGGCATGTTTTTTTCTTTTTTTTACAGGTTCTCTCGTCTTTTTCCACTCCTCCCCGTGGCATGATGTGATCAGTCTGCCGTGTGTTTGTTGTGTTTACTCTGTTTTGTACTCCTCCACGTGGGCCAGGACTTTCTTTCTCTGACGCATCATGTGGAAGTAGAGCTGGGGAAACACTGGGGAAGCATCGGGAGAACAACACAGTCAGATCAACAACAACACGTAACCATAGAATCATACGCAGAACTAAGTACAGACACCTTAAAATACATTTACGAGCCATTTCATGACATTTAAAAAGCCCACATCTAGACAAGCAAGCACTAAGTGCAAGGTAGAGCATTACAATTCACAGCACAAAGCATCTTACTGTGAATTGTAATGCTCTACTTTGCACTTAGTGCTTGCTTGTCTAGATGATAGCTTTTTGGATTTCATGAAATGCATCTCCCCTACATACTCAATACAACACATCACTGACGTACTACTGAAATAGTACATCAGTGATGTATTGTAGTGAGTAGGTAGGGGAGATGCAAGGCGGCGAGAGAGAGAGAGACTTACGTGGAATGTAGGAGACCATAGTGAGGATGAGGAAGGTGTAGTAGTCGAAAGAGAAGTTGTACTTGTTAGGTAGAGTGACAGAATAGAGACCTGTCTTCTGCACGTAGGGCAAGGCTGCATAGATAGTCAGCAGCTCACCTGTCACACCCATAGGATACAGCACTAGGAAGAATGTGTACCTGGAGATAGGATGGAAGGAGTACATTTCAATATGGACATGTATGATATCCAGATTGCAAGAGGCTGCAATATCACTAGCTAATTCATTCTGCTGAATGTCAATTCATAGTGCCAGTGGTGGTGGCCCAGATCTTGTGCTGCATGTTGTTTGTGCCACTGCACGTTCTGATAGGGACTGGGGAAGCATGTTCTGATAGAAAACCACTCTTCCCAGACGTGTCCATTTGTTGTCATGCCCAACATGCCCAAGTTCAGACTCTTGTTTTGTTAAGTCATATTGCGATCACAATATTCAGTACAAATATTTCAATATGATATTTTGTCCATATCGTGCAGCCCTTCTACCTGTCATATACCACAAACTGTCTTTATAAAGCCAACTGAAGGTGAAAAGAGTGAAGCACCACAGCATTGGCTGACATTAGAAGAAGAATCATCATAATTTGTTACCAGGCAACAAAAGAAGGTCCTCCCCAATGAGTAGGCCTTTGTTGAAGACTTTGTTGCCATGGTTGAGACTGAGAAAACACATTATGGAGGGAGTGTCATACACTCCCATGTTTCGTCATATACAGCCCTATCTATCTATCTATCTATATATATATATATATATATATATAAATAAAACTCTGTTATGGACATATACAGTGCCTTCATAAATTATTCATACCCCTTGACATATTCCACATTTTGTTGTGTTACGGCCTGAATTCAAAATTGATTATTCATTTTTTTTCACACCCACAATTGATTTTTATTCCTCACACACAATAGCCCATAATGACAAAGTGAAAATATGTTTTTAGAAAATTCAGGCTGTAACACAACAAAATGTAGAATAAGTGAAGGGGTATGAATACTTACTGAATGCACTGTATAATGACAGCAGGGATGGCATAACGACTTTTTAAATAATAATTTCCGACGTTTGGTAGGCTATTTGTTTGTCAACTTGTCTAGGCCTATAATAATTAGAATGCAACTCTTCTGTCATTACATGTTGCCCTAGAACAGGGTTACCCAACCCTCTCCTCTGCTGCCCCCCCCCCCCCCCCCCCCCCCCCCCCCCCCCCCCGCCGACGTTTCACATTTTTGTTTTAACCCTAAGCTGGCACACCTGATTCAATTAGTCAAAGGCTTGATGATTTGTCAGGACTAATTGAATCAGGTGTGCCAGTTTAGGGTTAAAACTAAAATGTGAATTGTCTGGGGGAGGGGGCCGAGGAGAGGGTTGGGTAAATCCTGCCCTAGAAGACTAGATAAAGCCTTACTCACCCGAATAATGCCATAAATGCATATTTTATGTGCTGTCAGCTTTTATGTCGCTGAAAAGATAGGACATTTACACACGGTTCTTAACCACGCAGTAACATTCTCTCAAGATGCTCGCACCCCTACTTCCACCGCCTCTGAATGACAGAGACTCTAGTGTAAAGCATCAAAGAACTTCCCCATCGTTAATACCAATCGACATGGCGGTATGTCTCATACATTGACAGCGAATAAATAGAGGGCTGTGTACAGTATTTAAACCCACACATTAAATGATCAGGTGAACATTACATACAATTGTACAGGTAAAAAGTACAGAGTCCTTAAGAGTCAATCTAAGTAACATAATAAACAAATCCCCATCAAAATCTGTCAGTTTAATCCACCGCATCCACCTATGTCGGCCTTCCGCATCTGCTGTGGAAGGTGACCGAGCTACAGCGGTGTTTGTCAGATCATGAGACATCCCGAAAATCGGTCTTCTCACAAAAACTATTATGACCACTCTACAAACTATTAAGGGGGAGACTCTCACGAAGACGATGGTGTTCTCCGTTTTGCTCTACGACTCCCACAAGTGTCACGGGACTCGTCTGAAGGTAACCCATACAAACGATTGGAAGTATGGAGGTAGTTTTGTGCCCATAAAAAAAGGGGTTAAATAGGCTTAGACTTTTTGAGTTTAACACAAAGTAATTTTCCAGCACTTCTTTCCAATGTGAAGTGGAGTGCCTCTCATTCAATTAGCCAATAGGGAGCGTGGGGAGCTTTTCTTACCGTGCCCATTTGATGAGGTAGGGCAGGTGGTTGAGCAGACTGAAGGTGTAGAAGGAGTAGCGGATGATCTCTGTGATGGTCCAGGCCGATACGAAGAGCAGGACACTGTCTTCACTCTGGACCTGGGATCAGACAGGACAAACAGACAGGGGTGAGACTGGGCAGATAATTCAAAGCTAGCATGCGATAGTTTGTAGTAGATTCATTCAACTGGAAGACCGAGGGGTTATGGCAGAACCGTGCAGTTTGTTGCACCAACTATACTACGCTGTAACTCTGCATGTCATGGCGCATGACAGGCAAAGAGAGAGAGAATTGTAAACACGAGATGAAAAGTTAACATAGTTGCAAATACTCAAACACACACACATACAGTGCATTCGGAAAGTATTCCGACCCCTTTACTTTTTCCACTTTGTTACGTTACAGCCTTATTCTAAAATGGATTTTTTTTTTTTTACATTTCCTCATCAATCTACACACAATACCCCATAATGACAAAGCAAAAACAGGTTTTTAGAAATGTTTGCTAATTTATTACAAATAACAAACAGAAATACCTTATTTACATAAACATCCTTGAGATGTTTCTACAACTTGATTGGAGTCCACCTGTGGTCAATTCAATTGATTGGACATGATTTGGAAAGGCACACACCTGTCTATTTAAGGTCCCACAGTTGACAGTGCATGTCAGAGCAAAAACCAAGCTATGAGGTCAAAGGAATTGTCCGTAGGGCGGGATTGTGTCGAGGCACAGATCTGGGGAAGGGTACCAAAAAATGTCTGCAGCATTGAAGGTCCACAAGAACACAGTGGCCTCCATCATTCTTAAATGGAAGAAGTTTGGAACCACCAATACTCTTCCTAGAGCTGGCTGCCCGGCCAAACTGAGCAATCGGGGGAGAAGGGCCTTGGGTCAGGGAGGTGACCAAGAACCCGATGGTCACTCTGACAGAGCTCCTCTGTGGAGATGGGAGAACCTTCCAGAAGGACAACCATGTCTGCAGCACTCCACCAATCAGGCCTTTATGGTAGGGTGGCCAGACAGAAGCCACTCCTCAGTAAAAGGCTCATGACAGCCCACTTGGAGTTTGCCAAAAGGCACCTAAAGTACTCTCAGACCATGAGAAACAAGATTCTCTGGTTTGGTGAAACCAAGATTGAACTCTTTGGCCTGAATGCCAAGTGTCATGTCTGGAGGAAACCTGGCACCATCCCTACGGTGAATCATGGTGGGGGCAGCATCATGCTGTGGGGATGTTTTTCAGCAGCAGGGACTGGGAGACTAGTCAGGATCGAGGGAAAGATGAACAGAGCAAAGTACAGAGAGAGATCCTTGATGAAAACCTGCTCTAGAGCACTCAGGACCTCAGACTGGGGCCAAGGTTCACCTTCCAACAGGACAACGACCCTAAGCACACAGCCAAGACAATGCAGGAGTGGCTTCCGGACAAGTCTCTGAATGTCCTTGAGTGGCCCAGCCAGATCCCGGGCTTGAACTCGATGGAACATCTCTGGGGAGACCTGAAAATAGCTGTGCAGCGACGCTCCCCATCCAACCTGACAGAGCTTGAGAGGATCTGCAGAGAAGAATGGGAGAAACTCTGCAAATACAGGTGTGCCAAGCTTGTAGTGTCATACCAAAGAAGACTCGAGGCTGTAATCGCTGCCAAAGGTGCTTCAACAAAGTACTGAAAGTACTGAGTAAAGGGTCTGAATACTTATGTAAATGTCATATTTCAGTGTTTAAAAAAATTAATAATTGCTAACATTTCTGAAAACCTGTTTTTTCTTTGTCATTATGGAGTATTGTGTGTAGATTGATCAGGGGGAAAAACAATTTAATCAATTTTAGAATAAGGCTGTAACGTAACAAAATGTGGAAAAAGTCAAGGGCTCTGAATACTTTCCGAATGCACTGTATACAGTAGAGCGTTTCAGACCTTACAAACATGTTAGTGTTATTCACCCTGTTGGCTTCAAGCATGTTCACTATTTCAGGCTCACAGACCTTAGTGCATCAGCAAGGCTCTTTCTTTGGAATGAAGACAACATCTAGGGGCATTGCTCCCCTGAAACCATCACCACATATTAAAGTTTGCATATTTCTTACTGTCCACTCCGTAATATTTTAGCTTTCAAATGAATTCACAGTGCTGGTTCATCCTGATATTCCAACAGATCAAACAAACTAAACTTATCTGGAAAATAAATGGCTAGTTCCATAATTGGTGAATTGGGGGCTGAATGAGTCGATGAAGTAGAGATGTACCTCTCGGACGCTGTGTGTCACAGCCCAGGTGAGGAAGACCCGAGACAACACCTGGAACCCTGTTAGAACCACAGAGGATGGAACGATCCCTGGAGCAGGAGAACACAGCATGATCATCATATTAGAAGATATGTACTGTATCACCTTAAAACACAGCTTTACCACTTCACAACACAGGGATACTGAGCAGAATACATGACGAGAGAAGCAAAGAGAAGACATATTTTCAATTTGTGCAAAAGTGCATCAAGTGTTGGACTATTAATTCGCAGGCAGCTTACAAAAGCTTATGTAAGATAGCAAAAAATATAGCACACCAATTCCAGTTATAGAATTCACTGTATTACACTAATCTGCAGGCTACATGAGTGTGTAGTGTCTAGGTTTGTCCAGCAGAGGGCAGCACATGTCCAGACAGACAGACAGCTGCCGTAATGAAGGTCAGGGTTATCCTTAAATCCCAGATAATGAGTAGTGGACTGTGAACCGGGAGTGCCACGACCACAATGGAGCAGGGCCTTGTTCGTTATCAAATTAGTATCATCAGGCCAGGCTTATCTTAGTAGCCTGGAAAGGCTCTCTCTATCTGAGGCAATGGCTCTCAGTAGGGCTTATGTCCACATGACTGGTAGAGACCACAGTATGCGACTTTGACCATGAGAAGAGGGAGGAACTTCAACTTACCCACTGCACAGTGCAATATCTGAAGGGAAATAAAAAGAAAAACACAGCATAAACAACACAGTCACACCATATGTTCATTCTACTGGTCTAGGACTAGATAAAAGCCAGTGCACTAGTCAAAACATAATTTTTATGAATGGAGGGAGTTGGTATGACAGAAGCATGAAGACAGAGCTTGGGTTACACTATGCCTAATCCCTTATCTCTGTGTTACTGTGTGGCTGGAGAGGATCACACTAACACCCTACTAGGCCTCTGTACTGTCTGTAAGTAGCACAGAGGTGGGAGCGGGGAAGGCCAAGGCCAGTCATGGTGGAGGAGTTTCTATTTAAAAATACAACAGTGCTGTGTGATTGAACATTCCTGCCATTAAGTTGTATGCGTACAGTAGGGGACATACCAAATGCACCACACATAGAGTGATAAGGGGCTGTCTTGTTAAGTGCTCGGAATAAAAGCCCAGATTTTGTTCAGTGGGGAGAAAACGTTTTGAAAGGGAGTGAAATAAAGGGGGCACTACCTAAACTTGTCAAATAAGAAAAATTATACAGATTTCCATTTTCTGTTGCATAATATTTTGCTAGTGTACCTAATGAACATGACCCAGGTCTGACCCTGAGGCCCTACAACAGAGACTTGGCCTACATCCACTCACCTCCAAGAGTGCGCCGGTCTGGAAAAACTTCAGGGGTTTCTCTATAGAGAAGTATAGGCCGTGGTAGCTGCCTCTGACAAGATAGGCCCGCACCAGGCCCACAGCAATGACCAGCCAGCTGGAAGAACATTTCATTTTTATTTAGATTATTTGCCAGGATAGTGCACTCAGTAACAACTGCCACTATTTTCCAGGGAGTTCGGGGTGGGAATACATTTCTGGTATCAAATAATAGCCTCAGTTTACTCTTAGAGGACAGGATAAAGCAAAACAGTCCAACCACACAGAAGGTAGGCCTAATACATAGATAGAAAAGGCATCTGCACAGTCATATACTTGAATAGTCGTGATTGTTAGGAGTGACAGGTTTTGAACCCGATAGAAATTAATCTACTAAATAAAGTAATAGAAACCCTTTGTAGCTGGTACTCAATAGACAGAGCAAGTATCACCTCACCAGACAGGATTGGGAGAGGGAGGGTATCCTGTAATGTCACCTAACTTGTTAGGATGAGAGAGCATCCAGCATTTTGCACTTGTGCAATTTATTGCACAACAACTGTGTGTCATATGTTGAGTGAAATCAGAGATATACAAAACAACTGTATTTGTAGTTTTTTTTTAAACTCCTAACAAATGGTGGTTGTAAAACTACATGTAGTATGCCTAAATAACAATAACTATTACTGTACATAATGACAGCCTTTATATATATATATATACATATACACACACATACCATTCACGCGATTACAGTTGCAACTCTAGGCAACATAGCTAATTGCAGTGTTTTGTAGGCGCGCGCTCGAGTAAAATGTAACCAAAGACACAGACAATTGATACATTCCCGACGGAGGCTGTTACAAAGTAACAAGACAGTAGTTCTGTGTTTGGTTGATTTGATTTGCTACAATGTCGCTGAAGGCAGCACAATGAAACGAGTTATCGACAACGTGTCGCCAGCGAAGCAAAATTGTTGACATGGGATTGATTTAATCATTAGCCTATCATTATTTCCAAAGTACAAGCATTATTGAGCAAAATATCCAGGAAAACAGTTCGGGGATCTAGTCTTGTAGCAGGCGCGTGCCTTCCCATGACATTAATTATAGCAGATCATGCACGCTTGCACCCCAATCCCGTCAAACAGGAAGTGTATTAGAATTGTCTACATACCCAGCTGTCATAACCACGTTATATATAACCAGATACGCCGTAGCCAGGGCACCCGGTCCCCTCTTTTTCTTCGCAGCCACATCACTGTGAGCAGTCTTCGTGGTCCCCATAGCAGGTGCTGACATGACTGAACCCCACTTGGCGCTGCCCGATTAGTGTTTCCAATGCTGAGAAATTTGCAATCAGTCAGAGATACTCTGAATCAGTCCACCAAATCAGGAAATGAAAGGCGTAAACTGGGCCTGCGCAATATTTTACGGGACCAGCAGCCCGCGCCCCCTACCGAAACATCACCATGAACAGTTTACTTTAGCTTAGTGCTTCCTTTTGAGTTGTTAATGCCATAGATTTGTATGGGTTTTGCCACAAAACAAACAAAATACTGTGCGTATCGGATAGCCTATATTTCGAATTACAACAACTCATAAATATCGGTATGGTCATTTATGTACCACTGTTGACTGTATGTGTGGTCATATACGTCATGCTTTTTCAAACCATTCAATTTGTATTATAAACCTTATAATAAGAGGAAAGGAACAATGGAAGATTCGCGTACCTCTTCCACACACGGGTGGCAGTGTTACACCAGAAAAAAACATGTTTTAAAGGGTCATAAGAGGTGTCTTTTTATCTGCCTGTACATTTACATTTTAGTCATTTAGCAGACGCTCTTATCCAGAGCGACTTACAGTTAGTGAATGCATACATTTTCTTACTGGCCCCCCGTGGGAAACGAACCCCAACCCTGGCGTTGCAAGCGCCATGCTCTGTCAACTGAGCTACAGGGGACTACATGATACATTTGAATGTAGAAATACAGCAATGTTTAATTTGCGTTCTTTAATTAGCTTCAAATATATGTGCATCGATAAGTGTCGATATGATTTTAGTTCTATAGCTTTTACATTTAATCCAAAAAAATTCAGGCATTTTTGCAGCCACCCAAGTTTACGGAAGAGCAACTGGTATAATTGTACAGAGTTTGATGGATGAGGAAGGGATTTTAAAAATATATATATTCTTATTATAAATATTCTAAATTTTCTTTCTCAACAACGTCGGTTTATTTAAAGGAGTAAACATGCCTTTATTTGCGCAGAATCCATTCGACCAAGATGTTGGTAAATTGAGCACTTTATTTGGTCATTTTGATTCCGAGGGACCTAACCGTTAGCGTTAGCTAGCTAGCTTCTTAGCGAGCGTAGCGGAACCGCTAGCCAGCGAGCTAACAACAACTAGTCTGGCTATACCACATACAGAAGGGGAAACCTTAGTTATACATATCTTTGGCTACACTTCTGCAGCTACGTTGACGTTATAATCAAATGTTGTATTATTGAAATAGCTAACTAATTAGTTATGTGGTTTGGTAAACTCGGTAACTAGCTAGTAGTCACAGGGTTAACAGACAGTCATCAGTCATACTACCTCGCTAGCTAGCTACCACTGTGCTAGCTAGCGAGTATGTTAGCTAGTTGTTGTGTCATCAGTGTATCGTAGCTAATCAACGATTTTCAATAACAAGACAGCCTAAACTGCAACAAGCTCACATATTCAAAAATAATAACATGAGCTATCTATCTAGTTAGTTAGCTAGCTAGATAGATTTATGAGTTGGATTAGTTGTAGGTTTACTCAAAGGAAGCTGTTTCATTGGATTGCTTGTTTTATGCTAATGTTAGATGCAAATCACCCTCTCTTTCCATGAACAGATTATCATATTTGGAACAGAAGCTCTCTCATAATGCCCTTGTACAATATTAATTTCACTTTGTACAATTAGACCTAACTAGCTAGTCACCGATGTGTAATGGCTATTTCATAACTAAGAAGATATAAGGAATAACTGACTTTTAACTGCTTTATTGCTACTCTAATCAAACAACCTCCATAATTGTAGTGACTGTCAATCCTATGAAAATGCTCGAACTATCTAAAGCAACGATAATTGGGACAGTACATGCCGAACCACAGATTATCTTCTCTCAACTAACCACATGTATCCCGGTGTACCACATTTTCAGAGAAAGCCACCAATGAAACCAATACAGTGGAGGACTGGGCCCTGATCATGGATATCTGTGACAGGGTTGGACATACACCCAATGGGTAAGCTGGAATGAGACTTCCTGTTTCTAAAATAACTTAAAATGTTTACTTGGACCAGAGCACTAGCTGCATTTCCTGCTGAAAACAATTGGCTCATTTCTAAGTACTTCCAAGCAATGTTCCCTGTAATATTTTTCAGCACTGAGCAAATCTCAGGTCTGCTGAGCGCAAACCTTGTGAAATTTCTGTGCAACTTTCGGTGCACATTTACTGTGAATACTGATGCTGTACCAGATTTAATTTACTGTTTTAACAGTGGCCAAGTAGGCTACTGTGGCAAAAAAAGAAGGAAGAGAAATGCTGCTAAGGTACACAATAGTAGATTTTGGTAGACAGAAGGTGCTCTTTGGTAAAAGGGGTAAATTGGTCATCAAAAAGAAAGGAAGACCAAGGCACTCTTCATATAATTAATTAAAATGCCTTTATTTGTATGGCATGTTCAATGGAAACAAAGTTTTAAAAACTCTGACGCATTTCGGCTGCATGGCCTTCATCAGGGAGTACAAAGATATGATAATACAATGTCCTCTTTTGAACAGCTTTTTGCAATCAACCCTGATTTGAAGAGGGAGTGGTTACAGAATTCATTGGACAACAGTAAATTAAATACTGTACCCGCTTTAATTTATTGTTTTAAGAGTGGTCAAGTAGGCTACTATGGCTATTTGATCATAATGTAGGCCTACCAGAGTGGCCTACCATAAAAAACAATGGGGAAAATGCATCACATAACATTTTAACATGGAAATAGCGGTTCTATCATTCAGCCTGCAGTAGCAGCCAATGTGTGGTGTTCAATGTAGGCCTACATTCCATGAGACTTTTGAAAAAAACATGCAGTGCTTGATATTAACCTGTTTATCCACTTGTCCTTCAGACAAGTAGATGACTGAACATTTTGTTGTGTTTAATGCAAGAAACCATTTTACAAAATCTAATTCATTATTATTCCCAAACCATTATTGCAGAGAATCAGACAAATTATGCTACCCTCTGCCTATTGGCTACTTAGCTTATTCAAGCCTGTCTCAAAATACACACTGCCCCTTTAAGACATAAAAAAAAGCTCTTTACCTGACTCGCTTTTCAAAGATGGCTAGAAATGTACACGTTTTATGCTCTTGTAGGAAGCAATCACTCCCCCATTGCTGACTACAAATGAGCTATAACTGGGCTAATAACTCACTAACTAGCAAAGAATATGAACAAATGTGCACATGTGGCAATATGCAGCTCTTGCTTTGATCTCAAAACAAGCGCATAATAATCGCGACCGCTCATGCTGTAAAAGTGAACGGCACAAATCCATATAGCGCAATGGTCTATTTGCATATAGGCCTACTGCAGCTCTGATTGGTTATGGCGCACCGGCCTGTGTAGAGTACGGCTGAGTCATGCCTGTCAATGCAATAGAATCCTACTCCGATGCGTTCTGCCTACAACAAGTCTTTCATAGTTTGCTTTGTTTTGGTATGTTGCATTGAAAGTGGCTAATATTGCATTGATTCGATCACAATTCCCACAGTAAAGGGAAACGTTAAGTGTTAACGTGGAAAACTCTAGAAAGTTGAGCGTTGTTCAATCTCGTGCTTCTCTTATAGGGAACATTGCTTCCAAGTATTTGTAATATGTGCAACTATAAGCTCATAATAGTGTAACCGCAGGACTCCAGGAAGGTTGGAGGGGAGTGGGGTATTTAAAAATATATATTTAGACAGCAGTGGGTAGAATTGCAATTAATAAGTGTATATTGAAGATGGTATACTTTAGAAAACTCATGTTGGAATAACCACCTACTTGTGTGCCATATTAATCGTATGTCTCTACCTACCTGTCTCCCAGAGCTAAGGACTGCCTGAGGTCTGTGATGAAGAGAGTCAACCACAAGGTCCCACATGTTGCCATGCAGGCCCTCACCGTGAGTCACTTTGTTATTGTGTTATTCAAGACAAAAACAATATATTATTCGCTAGACTGTTGGAAAACCCAGCGGGTTTCCTTACTGTATAACTGTTGTATAAATATATTGGAAAAGGTGTAAGCCTAGTACAAGGTCAGGTTTTTCACTCCCTGGTGTCAGGCCCTAGAGCTTGTTGAGTGACTGGGATCATAGGCACAGGTAATATGAGTCATGAATCCTGCTATAGGATGGACAACAGAGTTTGAACAATGTGCTGGAAGAAATTCTGAGTGTGAATTTCTTTATACACTGTGGCTGGTGGATCAAAAACTCTGACTGTTGCCCTAAGCCTCAATGACACTCCAGTCTGATGTAATTTTACATTTTGTCATTTAGCAGACGCTCTTATCCAGAGCGACTTACAGTTAGTGAGTACATAAATTTTTTCATACTGGCCCCCCGTGGGAATAATAAAGTATTTGGGAAGCGTGGTCCATCTCCTGCTGCTCTTGGCGGTTCTAGAGCTCTGAGCTCGTAACTCAGTCTCCTCGCTGTGGGCCCTGGAAAGGTTTTTACTGTTTTGATCTTACATTTACATTTTAGTCATTTAGCAGACGCTCTTAACCAGAGCGACTTACAGGAGCAATTAGGGTTAAGTGCCTTGCTCAAGGGCACATTAACGTCATTTAGCAGACGCTCTTAGCCAGAGCGACTCACAAATTGGTGCGTTCACCCTATAGCCAGTGGGATAACCACTTTACAATTTGGGGGGGGGGGGGGGTTAGAAGGAATACTTTAGCCTATCCCAGGTATTCCTTAAAGAGGTGGGGTTTCAAATGTCTCCGGAAGGTGGTGAGTGACTCCGCTGTCCTGGCGTCGTGAGGGAGCTTGTTCCACCATTGGGGTGCCAGAGCAGCGAACAGTTTTGACTGGGCTGAGCGGGAGCTGTGCTTCCGCAGAGGAAGGGGAGCCAGCAGGCCAGAGGTGGATGAACGCAATGTCCTCGTTTGGGTGTAGGGACTGATCAGAGCCTGAAGTTACAGGGGTGCCGTTCCCCTCACTGCTCCAAAGGCAAGCACCATGGTCTTGTAGCGGATGCGAGCTTCAATTGGAAGCCAGTGGAGTGTGCGGAGGAGGGGGGTGACGTGAGAGAACTTGGGAAGGTTGAACACCAGACGGGCTGCGGCATTCTGGATGAGTTGTAGGGGTTTAATGGCACAGGCAGGGAGCCCAGCCAACAGCGAGTTGCAGTAGTCCAGACGGGAGATGACAAGTGCCTGGACCAGGACCTGCGCCGCTTCCTGTGTAAGGCAGGGTCGTACTCTCCGAATGTTGTAGAGCATGAACCTGCAGGAGCGGGTCACCGCCTTGATGTTGGCGGAGAACGACAGGGTGTTGTCCAGGGTCACGCCTAGGCTCTTCGCACTCTGGGAGGAGGACACAGCGGAGTTGTCTACCGTGATGGCGAGATCATGGAACGGGCAGTCCTTCCCCGGGAGGAAGAGCAGCTCCGTCTTGCCAGGGTTCAGCTTGAGGTGGTGATCCGTCATCCATACTGATATGTCTGCCAGACATGCAGAGATGCGATTCGCCACCTGGTTATCAGAAGGGGGAAAGGAGAAGATTAGTTGTGTATCGTCAGCGTAGCAATGATAGGAAAGGCCATGTGAGGATATGACAGAGCCAAGTGACTTGGTGTATAGGGAGAAAAGGAGAGGGCCCAGAACCGATCCCTGGGGGACACCAGTGGTGAGAGCACGTGGTGCGGAGACAGCTTCCCGCCACGCCACTTGGTAGGAGCGACCGGTCAGGTAGGACGCAATCCAGGAGTGAGCCGCTCCGGAGATGCCCATTTCGGAGAGGGTGGAGAGGAGGATCTGATGGTTCACAGTATCAAAGGCAGCAGACAGGTCTAGAAGGACAAGAGCAGAGGAGAGAGAGTTAGCTTTAGCAGTGCGGAGAGTCTCTGTGACACAGAGAAGAGCAGTCTCAGTTGAATGACCAGTCCTGAAACCTGATTGGTTTGGATCAAGAAGGTCATTCTGAGAGAGATAGCAAGAGAGTTGGCTAAAGACGGCACGCTCAATAGTTTTGGAAAGAAAAGAAAGAAGGGATACTGGTCTGTAGTTGTTGACATCAGTGGGGTCGAGTGTTGGTTTTTTGAGAAGGGGAGTAACTCTCGCTCTCTTGAAGACGGAAGGGACATGGCCAGCGGTCAAGGATGAGTTGATCAGCGAGGTGAGGTAGGGGAGAAGGTCACCGGAGATGGTCTGGAGAAGGGAGGAGGGGATGGGGTCAAGTGGGCAGGTTGTTGGGCGGCCTGCAGTCACAAGTCGCAGGATCTTATCTGGAGAGAGAGGGGAGAAAGAAGTCAAAGCATAGGGTAGGGCAGTGTGAGCAGGACCAGCAGTGTCATTAGACTTAACAAACAAGGATCGGATGTCGTCAACCTTCTTTTCAAAGTGGTTGACGAAGTCATCCACAGAGAGAGAGGAGGGGGGGGGGGGGGGGGGGGAGGGAGGATTCAGGAGGGAGGAAAATGTGGCAAAGAGCTTCCTAGGGTTAGAGGCAGATGCTTGGAATTTAGAGTGGTAGAAGGTGGCCTTAGCAGCAGAAACAGATGAAGAAAATGTAGAGAGGAGGGAGTGAAAAGATGCCAGGTCGGCAGGGAATTTAGTTTTCTTCCATTTCCGCTCCGCTGCCCGGAGCTCTGTTCTGTGAGCTCGCAATGAGTCATCAAGCCACGGAGCTGGAGGGGAGGACCGAGCCGGCCGGGAGGATAGGGGACACAGAGAGTCAAAGGATGCAGAAAGGGAGGAGAGGAGGGTTGAGGAGGCAGAATCAGGAGATTGGAGGGAGAAGGATTGAGCAGAGGGAAGAGATGATAGGATGGAAGAGGAGAGAGTAGTGGGAGAGAGAGAGCGAAGGTTGCGGCGGCGCATTACCATCTGTGTAGGGGCAGAGTGAGTAGTGTGGGAGGAGAGTGAGAGAGAAAAGGAAACAAAGTAGTGGTCGGAGACTTGGAGGGGAGTTGCAGTGAGATTAGTAGAGGAGCAGCATCTAGTGAAGATGAGGTCAAGCGTATTGCCTGCCTTGTGAGTAGGGGGGGACGGTGAGAGGGTGAGGTCAAAAGAGGAGAGGAGTGGAAAGAAGGAGGCAGAGAGAAATGAGTCAAATGTGGACATAGGGAGGTTGAAATCCCCCAAAACTGTGAGGGGTGAGCCATCCTCAGGGAAGGAACTTATCAAGGCGTCAAGCTCATTGATGAACTCTCCAAGGGAACCTGGAGGGCGATAGATGACAAGGATATTAAGCTTAAATGGGCTAGTGACTGTGACAGCATGGAATTCAAATGAGGAGATAGACAGATGGGTTAGGGGAAAAATTGAGAATGTCCACTTGGGAGAGATGAGGATTCCTGTACCACCACCCCTCTGACCAGATGCTCTCGGGGTATGCGAGAACACATGGTCAGACGAGGAGAGAGCAGTAGGAGTAGCGGTGTTTTCAGTGGTGATCCATGTTTCCGTCAGCGCCAGGAAGTCGAGGGACTGGAGGTTGGCATAGGCTGGGATGAAGTCAGCTTTGTTGGCAGCAGAACGGCAGTTCCAGAGGCTGCCTGCGACCTGGAACTCCACGTGGGTGGTGCGTGCAGGGACCACCAGATTGGAGAGGCAGCAGCCACGCGGTGTGGTGCGTTTGTGTAGCCTGTGCAGAGAGGAGAGAACAGGGATAGGCAGAGGCATAGTTGACAGGCTGTAGCAAATGGCTACAAAAATGCAGAGGAGATCGGAATGAAATGGGCTAAGCATCTGGGAGCGGAGAGAGCAGGGCCTCCCTCACCAAAACTTCTACCTCGGAAACTAAAATTGTTTCACTGAACCACCCGAAGAAAAAACTCTCCCAACTTCCGCCTTTGGAAATCAGAATTGTTGTGAACCACAGCGGTTCAATGTTTAAAGGAATAGACTCAACCCACTGCTTCTCAGTGTTGTTATGGAGTGATGATGCTCAACGTCAGACCATGTGATCTTTCTCTCTATGACTCACCATCAGTGTAGATGGTCACATGGCTGTTCTATTTTTAGATGTGTCTCTCTTTATCTCTCTCTCTCTCTCTTTTTAAAAAATATTTTTCTCTCTCTTTTTATCTTCTCACTCAGTCAACTTTAGCCCCTCCTGGCATAAAAACATGCATAATTTCACTGGTGTCATATCTATTCATGTGTCAATTATTCAACTTTGGTGTGGATGTGAATCAAAGCGTTTCTCTTGTTTTACTGTAATGCCTCAACATAGATCATCCAGGCTGACTACTGCACTAACCTGGCTTTTCTCCCTCTTTCAGTTGCTGGCTGCCTGTGTCAATAACAGTGGAAGAATCTTTCACTTAGAAATCTGCTCGCGGGAGTTTGCCACTGAAGTCCGAACTGTATTGAGCAGGGTACGGAAGCTGTCCAAGGTTTTCTGTTGAAATATTTGTGGTGAATTGCTGATGTTCAGACACGTGATGATAACAATTGTCTGGCTCTATCAAGCTCTTTGTGTCAATGTTTTGATTGGTTTTGCCTCTATCAAATAAATAAGTAGCCTAATAATAATTACTATTATCCCCGCAGGCCCACCCCAAGGTGTGTGACAAGCTGAAGGGGATGATGGTGGAATGGTGTGATGAGTTCCAGAAAGATCCACAGCTCAGTCTGGTCAGTGCCACCATTAAGTGTCTGAGAGAGGAGGGGGTCGTCTTCCCATCTTCTGGCTCACAGGTAAAGTAATCAACTGCCTGGCGTCCATCCCCCTAACCCAGTGTTGCCGCTACCATTGTATAGGCCGGGGACAGTCAGCCCTTCCTATAACTCTGTCGCCCCCACCTAAAAGAGTTAGGCTTTTATTTGTTTTAATTTACAATTTTGGTGCCAGAGGGCCTGGATGTTGCTTTGTTCTTTGACGGCCTATGCGCTGCAACTGGAAAATAGAGCCATTTGACCCACCACATTTTTTTACCATAATGTATCAGTACTCTCCCCTTTTATTGCAGCTGTCGCCAGACTCCTCAACAAAACTAAAACAACTGTTATCGGCTAGCTCAAACACACAGTTCTCCTCATGACCTCCACCTGTGGTCCACTGTAACAAATAAACTCTGTGTGTGTACTTTCACTGGCTCCGCTGTTGTGCAGTCTGCCTGTGTCCTCGGTGCACTTCCTCGCCCATGTGTTGCCAATAAAGAGAAGGAGGGTGGAGCTTGTGTGTGTGTTTTTAAGCCGTGAGCTCCGAATTGAATTTCCTCTCTCATGTTTGATGTAATAATACCCCAGTTCTACCTATAAGGGGGATTAGAATTCCTGCTGTGATTGAGGGACAGTCTGGTGCTTATTTGTTTAGCCTACTTTCTAGCTGAAATGGTCGGCTGAGTGTCCTGTTGTTAATAAGTGACACTGAAGCGTTTGCTACTGAAACTGGAGTTTGCCCAACCCCTCTCACAGACAGCAGTTTATTCTTCATAGAATGTCACGATTTTCTGGTTGTTGGGCTATATTTGTAAGCATATGAAGTGATGTTATTTTTTATTTTAGGACCTCTTTTACTCATATTCTGTTTACTACCACAATACTACCTTTAAAGCCTGTAGTACCTATTAATCCCTACAGGTGGCATCACAGTCACAGATAATCCAAATCCCCATTTGTTCTGGAAGGCTTTCTCTCTCTATAACCAACCACCTCTTATCACCTGTGTCAACAGGGGTCCAGCCTAAAGGTCACCACACCTGCTGTTAGTAAACCATCTGACGATGAAGACCTTGCCAAAGGTACAGATCATATCCAACAGATTCTAGAACACCACATCAGATTACATTATGAACTGTGGATGAATGAATAAATACATTATTAGAGACATTAAAAACATTTTAGAATGACACAAAAAAAGTGTAGAACGTATTTCCATTGTTGTCCTGATGATAGTACGTGTTTTGGCCCTCATGCCTTTGTCCTCCTATCTGCAGCTATTGAGCTGTCTCTGCAGGAGCAGAAGCAGCATGCTGAGACGCGGCCCCTCACCATGACCGCCGACCCCCCTTTCAACACCAACGGGGGCGGGGGTAGCAGGGACTCCCGGAAGGTGCGGGCGCTCTATGACTTCGAGGCGGCCGAAGACAACGAGCTCACCTTCAAGACCGGGGAGCTCATCCTAGTCCTGGATGACAGGTAGCTAACGACATGTTGCTATGGAAACCCGAGTCTGACCTATATGATGACCTTTTGTATAGGCCAATGTGGAAACAACACTTCAACTTAATTGTCTTCAGTCATATATCTATCTAGTGCCAACCTTCTCAGGTTCTGCAGTCCTTCTGTAAATTTATGTAAACAACGGGAATGGTTTGCTTACTAGAATGTTTGAACTGATGACACCATGTTGCTGTCACAGTGATTCAAACTGGTGGAAAGGAGAGAACCACAGAGGATTAGGTCTCTTCCCATCCAACTTTGTCACGACCAACCTCAATGCTGAGCCTGAACTAGGTAGGTTCTTCCCCTTATCCTGTACCATACCTCACTCTCTTGTACCCTCATACCTCGGTCTCATCCTGAGGCAGGGAAAGTCATTCTAGTGTTTGGTTTCATGTTTGAAATCCTGACTTTAAAGTGGCTCTGGATAAGTGTGTCGCTAAATGTCAAATGTAAATCCCTCTCCTTACAGTAACATATGTGGAGAAGACACCAGCCCCGGAGGAGCCCAGCATAGAAGCCACAGTGGAGCCTGAGCCTGTCTTTATAGATGAGGTGGGTTCTTCTATGTACTGGACCTACTGTATCGGTGCTTCCCAAACCACTCGCTCTGAGGGCCCTCCATTGTCACGTGTTGCTGACGAAACTCAGAGGGTGACTTCCAGAGTGTGTCGAGGGGATCAATAAACCCATCAACTTCGGGACACACTCGTGACTTGAATGATGCAATTCATGTTCTACTTTTAAGTAATAAAACCAGCATGAAATTCTAATGAACAAATCCCCCTGTCATTTTATAAGATAAACCTCAGTAACAGTTAAAACATTTATTTGGTAGGTATTTCATCTGCTACGTGTGTCAAGTCTCAAAATCAGACATAAACAAATGCATGTGGTATATAATTAAGAATGCCTCTCCATTCTTTTGTATTACACTGCACAAACTTGCGGTGCGCGTGTCGAGATAGCACTTCACTCTGAAGCCTGCAGCCTTGCTGGCTTGGCTGAAGTGGCTATTGGAGGGTTTAATTAGCCCCTACACACTTGATAATTTTCACTCCCTCAGCTTTGGGACACTTGCAATGTGTCTGTTGGTGGAAATATGCTGCTGCTCACTCAGACAGCCCTGGTTGTATTGCGTCCTGGTTGTCTGCCATTACAGGAGAGGCTGCTGATAGTAGGCCTGTTGCTGCTGTGGGGCCTGGTGCGATGTGCATATGGCGGAGGACCAAGGAGAAGGGCGTGATTTGGGATTCAGCCTATGGCTGTCCATACCTGTAGGCCTATATAATTTATCTTATCCATAGTTGGTTATATGGGTACAATCAGTCCACCATTAATTTTGATAATTTGACTAATGAAAACCCTCATCAGTCTGTCAATTGTAACTTGGTAAAAGTCTGACATTGTAACTTTGTAGAAGAAGCAATGTAGCATCATATAATGACTCTTTCTCCTCCCTCACTTCACCTGTCCCTCACCCTCTCTCTCTCCCTCTCTCATCCCCACCCCTCACTCACACTCTCTCTCTCTCTCTTTCTTTCTTTTTTTCTTTCTTTGCAGGAGAAGATGGATAGAGCGCTGTATCTGCTCCAGAATACTGACCCTGCTGATGCAGCACCTGACTGCCCAGAGCTGGTCCAACTGGAGGGTATAAAACAATGACTTACTGCTCTTTTAAATCCCATGCACATTGACACTGCAGTTGTCTTGACTATATACGAACACATAAATACACACACACACACACATTGCAGTTGGCTTGACTACACCACTACACTCACACTGTTTTTGTCTGTTTAGCCTAACTTTATCAATGCTTTACCCTCTCAGGAGCTTGTGAGCAGATGAATCCAATGATTGATGACAAGCTGGAAGACATTGACAGGTAAAGTGAATTTAACTGCAGTATACTTACTCATAATGGACTATATTTTCAATAGTATATTAGAGGCTATACTGCAGTGTTTGCATGACACCGTTTATTTCTGTTGGTTAGGCCAGAGTACATAGTTATGAACATTTTGATTTAGTCATACTTGCTTTATATTGACTATCTGGATGAGTACCAGGGATCATCACCTGGACAGAACCCAAGAGTCTTTGTCCTACAAGTGTCGTGATGACCTCTTCTCTTTTCTCTCCAACGTATTGCGGTTCTCTCTGTCTCTCTCTCTCTCTGTCTGTCTGTCTGTCTGGTCTGGTCTGGTCTGGTCTGGTCTGGTCTGGTCTGGTCTGGTCTTGGCTGGTCTTGTCTGGTCTTGTCTGGTCTTGTCTTGTCTTTCTTTCTCCACCCCTCCTCCTCTCTGTCCCTCTCCTCTCTCACTCTCCCCTCTCCCTCCCTCCCTGGCAGGCAACACTCTGAGCTGTCTGAGCTGAATGTGAAGGTGCTGGAGGCCTTGGAGCTCTATAACAAACTGATGAACGAGGCACCATTCTACACAGCCTACTCCAAACTGCAGCCCCAGCAGCAGCCCCACTATGCACCTGCCTCCCAACTCCCCATGCAGGTCAGTTAGGAGAAACAAACAAACCACTGTGACATACTTTCTGTTTAGGTCACCACCTTGTACATCCCCAACCTGGTGGCCTCAGTGGAGGTAGGGACACTATGCCAGTGTCCATAATGGCACCCTATTCATATGGTGGGCTCTGGTAAAAAAGTAGTGGACTATGTAGGCAATGGGATGCCATTTCAGACGCAGACCTTGTGTGACCTTGTGTGTTTTGTCTGCTGTGCAGTTTGTCTCTGATGATGGATGTCAGTGTCAGTGGTCATGCTTGGACTCTTTTACCTCCTTGTCACTTTCTACACAGCTCTGCAAACCCATTTTAGAAACTAGCTGTCCCTTGCTGTGTACTTTCCTGCACCTGTAGTAATGTATTTTTTTGCCAATGCATGCTGTATTTTAGTGGAATAAATCAGTGTACAGTGTACTATGAAATATTTTATCAAATTTCATATTGAACCTGGTCTCTTTCTCTCTCCCCTCCCGCTCTCAGGGTTACCCAGGCCAGGCTGGTGGTTCCTACATGCCTCCAGGGATGCCCCAGGGCCCCCCAGCCCAGCAGGCCTACATGGGCTCTGACCAGCCCGGACCCCTTCAGTCACTCCCCCCTAACGTCACATCTCCCAACGGTCAGCCAGCACAGCTTCCTTACAGGTAGGCATCTCCTCAGTATACCAGCCCTGGACCATGAGACACCGGACTAGGCAACTAGCTAGCTTAGCGGCAGCCATTTTGTGTTTATATGTTTGTTTTGAGACATCCCACAAGAGGATTGTGAGTTATGTTTTTTGAGGGGCATTGCTCCTGTGTTAAGAGGATTAAATGTCTGCCTTTATGCTTGCGGTAGGTGGCAAATATTGTACCATTCTGTCTCTTCACTGCAGTGCTCCATATGCACCTGCCGGTTACCCACCACCGATGGGTTTGGCCCCACAGATGGACATGTCGGCCTATCAGAACTGCAACCTGCCGCCAGCCTCCTATCAAATGGCTGCTTCATCACACCAGGCCCCACAGCAGCAACAGGCCTACTATCAGCAGCCTCTCCTGTAAAGGCAGACAGTGCAATACAACCAGGGCTGTCTGAGTGAGCAGCAGCATATCCCCACCAACAGAAACAGTACAACAACACGCAAGAATGTGTGTGATTATCCGCTCCCTATTTTGACCTATATGAAGAAAAAAAAAAACTATACGTAGTGCACTACTGCTCTGATCAAAAGTAGTGCACTATGTAGGGAAAAGGGTGCCATTTGGGACATCGCCTAGATGATTGTCACAAAGGTCAGTGGCTGTGTGAGAGGAGGGAGACTACATGCCAAACTACCAATCACCACGACCTGTTTTGATGGGATGAACGTTTTAAATATAGTGTAAAATAAGTTATTTTCCTTATCCTGGTTTGCCTCAAAAACATTTAAGGGGGCAGCTGTCTAGCTGATCAGTTCCAAACTACATCATTGATGGTATGTGTGTGTTTGTCCCTGTTCAGTTTTTTTATTTTATCTTTTTTATTTTTGAATCTTTATCTCTTCACCCTCTGGTGTCTGGAAATCTGTCCAATTGAAGGAGTCCATGGCTGGCCAGGACAAGTCAATTCAATTTAATTTCAGTCAATTCGAAATGGAATTGACCCCAACCGCGACCAGGACTTGTTTTTTCTATCCCCCTCTCTCTAACAGCATCATCCACTTTAGTTTACCCTTCTCGGGGCCAAAGGTTTTGAAGTGCTACAGCTATAGGTATTTCTTTCTGTGGTTTAATCAGTACCATAATATCACAATATAGTTCAATTTGTTTCCCATACACTGCCTGCCTTGCAACACTCTCTTTGTGTGTTTAATACATTCTAGGAGTAAAGCAAAATGTTTAATCCTTTTCATTTGTGTGCAACTTCAAGGTGAATTTGTTATCAAATTAACTGAGCATTCATTGTTAAATAGATTTTGAATTGTGACCATGCAGCCTTTCCAAATTACTGCAGTTGTAGGTTCAATACTGATTTTCATATACAGTTGAAGTCGGAAGTTTACATACACTTAGGTTGGAGTCATTAAAACTCGTTTTTCAACCACTCCACAAATGTCTTGTTAACAAACCTATAGTTTTGGGAAGTTGGTTGGGACATCTACTTTGTGCATGACACAAGTAATTTTTCCAACAATTGTTTACAGACAGATTATTTCACTTATAATTCACTGTATCACAATTCCAGTGGGTCAGAAGTTTACATACACTAAGTTGACTGTGCCTTTAAACAGCTTGGAAAATTCCAGAAAATGATGTCATGGCTTTAGAAGGTTCTGATTCTGACATCATTTGAGTCAATTGGAGGTGTACCTGTGGATGTATTTCAAGGCCTACCTTCAAACTTAGTGCCTCTTTGCTTGACATCATGGGAAAATCAAAAGAAATCAGCCAAGACCTCAGAAAAAAAATGGTAGACCTCCACAAGTCTGGTTCATCCTTGGGAGCAATTTCCAAACGCCTGAAGGTACCACGTTCATCTGTACAAACAATAGTATGCAAGTATAAACACCATGGGACCACGCAGCTGTCATACCGCTCAGGAAGGAGACGCGTTCTGTCTCCTAGAGATTAGCGTACTTTGGTGCGAAAAGTGCAAATCAATCCCAGAACAACAGCAAAGGACCTTGTGAAGATGCTGGAGGAAACAGGTACAAAATTATCTATATCCACAGTAAAACAAGCCCTGTATCGACATAACCTGAAAGGCCGCTCAGCAACGAAGAAGCCACTGCTCCAAAACCGCCATAAAAAAGCCAGACTACGCTTTGCAACTGCACATGGGGACAAAGATTGTACTTTTTGGAGAAATGTCCTCTGGTCTGATGAAACAAAAATAGAACTGTTTGCCCATAATGACCATCGTTATGTTTGGAGGAAAAAGGGGGTGGCTTACAAGCCGAAGAACACCATCCCAAACGTGAAGCACTGGGGTGGCAGCATCATGCTGTGGGGGTGCTTTGCTGCAAGAGGGACTGGTGCACTTCACAAAATAGATGGCATCATGAGGAAGGAAAATGATGTGGATATATTGAAGCAACATCTCAAGACATCAGTCAGGAAGTTAAAGCTTGGTCGCAAATGGGTCTTCCAAATGGACAATGACCCCAAGCATACTTCCAAAGTTGTGGCAAAATGGCTTAAGGACAACAAAGTCAAGGTATTGGAGTGGCCATCACAAAGCCCTGACCTGATCCTATAGAAAATGTGTGGGCAGAACTGAAAAAGCGTGTGCGAGCAAGGAGGCCTACAAACCTGACTCAGTTACACCAGCTCTGTCAGGAGTAATGGGCCAACATTCACCCAACTTATTGTGGGAATCTTGTGGAAGGATACCTGAAACATTTGACCCAAGTTAAACAATTTAAAGGCAATGCTACCAAATACTAATTGAGTGTATGTAAACTTCTGACCCACTGGGAATGTGATGAAATAAATAAAAGCTGAAATAAATAATTCTCTCTACTATTAGTGATCCTAACTGACCTAAGACAGGGAATTTTTACTTGGATTAAATGTCAGGAATTGTGAAAAACAGAGTTTAAATGTATTTGGCTAAGGTGTATGTAAACTTCCGACTTCAACTGTACATCACTTTTTTTGTAATGCAAATGTGATCTAGCCTGGGTGCCTGTCTGTTTCTGCTCTCTTGCTAACTCATGGAATTTGTCATGTTTGGCTTGACAATAACAATACTGCAGTTGGCAAAACGGCACACACAGATCTGGGACCAGGCTAAATAACAACATGTTTTTTGGTTAACACAACATTCATGTGCCAAGGCTCTTGGCAACTTCCTAGAGGCCCCATATACAGTGATTAACAAGATGTAATTGCAAGCCATAAGTGGTTGATTGGGAAATGAGCCTAGTCTATTTTTCTATGGTCTTTCTTCATTGACTCTTCTGTTGAAAAGGCTTTTGACCATAGATGTTAGTAATAGATGTCTGTAATTATTAAATTAATATCTGTCTGCTTTTCATGTTTCTGGGCTGCGGGAGGTCACGTTTTCATAGAAATATATTTCTCACACATATTTTCATTTATGCAATAGTTATCTTTGCTTTGAAATGGCTGTCGGCTCTACAGTTGGACCTTTCATTTTAAATTGTAAATTACATCGCTTGTAATTTTATTTGTTATATTATATATTTTCTCTGGATTATATCCATATGATCAGATAATATTTTATGGTTTATAGATGTAAGATATACTTTCTCCTTTTAATACTATTGTTTTTACTTTATTTACAAAATGCAAGCAGAACAAATAGCTACCGTGACCAACAGCTAGAACTGGCTCTTTGGTCTTTACTGATAAAGGTGTGAATTGTACAAAGACTTATAGCTAGAGAACTCTTAGACCTGAAATGTTCATCTGAATTTAATTAATCTGTTGAGTGAAACCGACGACCAGGATTCCGTTTTTGTTTTATCTGGATCAAGTCAACTCTGACTCAAATAAGAACTGTCTATGCTTTATTTGTCTTCACTTGCCTCTTAAAAGGGGTTGTATATTACATGTAAAATATCTTCTGGCATTGTTGGGATTGCACTTTTTAACTTTGTTAATGTTTTATTTACCACTGGATGCCTTGTTTTTCTTTTAGAAATCAAATAAAAATTGAAACAACTTTTTGAAAGGAAGTGACATCTGTATATCTAGAACTCTTTATAATTAAAACATTTCAAGGGAACGTTCCGATTCAGTACTACCGACATAATAACCGACTATGTTTTGTAACATCAAGGTTTCTCTTTATCTTGTGTTATTGTAAAAAATAATTTTGTAACACAGTCGACTAATATTCGTTCAAATAAAATGTACCTGTGTTCAAGGCTCTCTTGTACTGATAATGCCTTTTTTTCTTGTAATATGTGTTCTCTGAATACTGTGAAAGAATTGGACATCTTGTAAGTGTATGCTGGTTGATGGGATCCTTTTGAGTCCTTTGAGAACAGTTCGATAGTCAATGACACATTTCGGATGTAGAAAGAGAATAACGATAATGGGCAGTAATTTACAAGACAGATGGTTTGGGAATATGTTCACCCATGCAGAAAACATCATACTCATAATGTTCCTGTGTGTGTTACACATCTTTAAAATACTTATCTTCACTCATGTCTTCCGTTTCTTGCTGACCATTTGTGGGGTCTTACAATCTATTCAGAAGGGGAAGACGCAACACTATTCATCTTATACCTGTGGAACTGGAGGTAGTACCCTATTGTCAGATATAATGTAATGTTCAATGAGTCATATGGTGTGTCCCTTCCTTTCGACTCTTTGGTGAAGGGGCTAGGATCGTTCTGTTATTATAACCACCTTGGTGAGGGGTGTGAACAAAGGTCTACGGAGGAGGAAGAACCACTATATAAAGAATCTCTCCAGAGAATCTCACTGTGACCAGTGATGCATGGGCAGTCACCTCTATAATCGTTACTAGGAGACAATGTTTTATTCAGTGAGCGTTTTCTTTATGATTTCACCATTTGACCACTGAAGAGCTGAACTAGTAAGATTCTAGCACAGAGGCTGAAGCTTTAACAAGCCTGGTGTTCTGTCTAAGTGTTCCACTTTATTATGTGAGCTGTCTTTGGGTCTTACTGGTTTAACTTTCCAACATCCTCTATCGGCAGGATAGATTTCTTGACTATTTTTCCCCAATCAAAAAGAGACTGAAGCTTTTAAAGGCCCAGTCAAAAATGTGATTTTCCTGTGTTTTATATACAGTTGAAGTCGGAAGTTTACATACACTTAGGTTGTAGTCATTAAAACTCGTTTTTCAACCACTCCACAAATGTCTTGTTAACAAACTATAGTTTTGGCAAGTTGGTTAGGACATCTACTTTGTGCATGACACAAGTAATTTTTCCAACAATTGTTTACAGACAGATTATTTCACTTATAATTCACTGTATCACAATTCCAGTGGGTCAGAAGTTTACATACACTAAGTTGACTGTGCCTTTAAACAAGTTGGAAAATTCCATAAAATGATGTCATGGCTTTAGAAGCTTCTGATAGGCTAATTTACATAATTAGAGTCAATTGTAGGTGTACCTCTTTGCTTGACATCATGGGAAAATCAAAAGAAATCAG